GTTTTCTTTGAACGATGACAGAATGCATAATTAATTGATGGGGCTATACGGAAATCTTGCCAAAATTGTTGTTCGAGATAGGTTTCTATTTTAAAAGGAAAAGGCAGTCAGATATCCTTGAGCCAAGGCCCCCAAAAGTGATTTTCGCAGCATCCCCTTTGGGACCAAGTAATTTTGGTACCAAATTAAAGCTTATTGACTATATTTGATGAATTCACTTGTTGCCCGGCTGGCAACTTGCACGTTAAGGAGATAAGAGAGTGTTTTTAACGGGGGAAGGGGAGTGTGGGGAGCATTTTTTGTCCTATGAACTTCTGTGTTATTCTGTGTTATTTGTTTTTTTTAATATCACAGATGTACATAAGACAAAAAATGCTCCCCACCCTCCCCCCGTTAAAAACGCCGCCGTATGTCAAGTCAAGTCAATCTTTATTTAAACACGGTAAAATCCATCAGGAATTTAAAAAATTAAAAATAACCTAACTATCCTAAACAAAATTCAAAACCTGACTACAACTAATCTAACTAAAACCTGTTTTTCATGAATGCCGTGTATAACATTAAAAATGAACATTAACTAATCTTTTAAATTGACTAAGAGATTCGGCTTCTCTCACATGACAGGGTAGGCTGTTCCAGAGAACTGTTCCGCTATAAGTAAAGCTGTTTTTCATGAAATTAGTTCGCGGAAATGGGACAAATAGTTTGTTAACAGAGTCCCTCAGGGAGTAACGCGTTTCATTTCGTTTAACAAACTTAGATGATAAATATTCAGGAACAAGGCCATTTAAAGACTTGTATACCATTATGGATTTCTGTATTTGAAATTGAGTGCTCAAGTCTTTCCAATCGAGTTGTCTAATCAAACGGTTAGCATCAGCATCATAGCTAGAGAAGGTTAAAACGCGAGCGGCACGGTTCTGAAGCTTCTGTAGCCTGTCAAATAATGTTTTACCACAATTACCCCAGACAAGATTGCAATAATCGAAATGAGATTGAATTAGTGAGTTGTATATATAGTGAAGGGTAGGTGGAGGGACAAAAGGTCTAATTCTTTTTATTGCTCCAATTCCGGAAGCGACCTTTTTAGATAATTTATCAATGTGTGTTTGCCACCGTAGATTTTCATCAATAAATATTCCAAGCGATTTGACAGAGGAAACGTGTTCTATCGGAACATTATTAATCGAGAGCTCAAGTGGGTTCGACAAAGTACTCAATTTTTGTCTGGAGCCAATTAGCATGAATTCAGTTTTAGAAGTGTTCAAAGTAAGTTTATTGGAAATAAGCCATTTGTTTAGGTTATCTAAATCGTGACTCAGAGTTAACTGTATTGAATTCACATCAACGCCAGCATAAGTAATGTGGGTGTCATCGGCATACATTCTAGGCTGGCACGAAGTAAGGCAGTTTGGCAAGTCATTAATATAAATAAGAAATAAAAGGGGCCAAGGATTGTTCCTTGCGGTACCCCACATTTAAGAGAGCAGATTCTAGAAAGAGAACCGTTAACAAGACATCGTTGTGTACGATTAGTTAAATACGACCTAAACCAATCAAGAGCTGTACCTTGTATTCCGTAAAGGTTCATTTTAGCTAGAAGGATATCGTGGTCAACGGTGTCGAAAGCCTTTTTAAATCGAGGAAAACCACAGCATTAACATTGCCACGATCAATATTAAAGGCCCAATTATCCGTAGCTTCCAGAAGGGCAGTTGCAGTTGAGTGTAACGAGCGAAAACCCGATTGATGATTAGAAATGATATCTTCATTGGTCAAAAGTTATACAACTGATCATAAACAATCCTTTCAAACACTTTAGCTATAACGGAAATGACTGAAATAGGTCGATAATTATTCAGATCAGATGGCTCACCTTCCTTGAACAACGGAGTAACTCTAGCACATTTCCAATCATCAGGAAATATACCAGAGACTAAAGATTTATTAAAGAGATCACATAGTGAAACTGAAATAAGATCAGCACATTCACGTACAATTTTAGCAGAAATATTATCAAGACCAGTTGCTTTAGATCTACATAATTTGTTTAGATGTGAGAAAACAATGCTGCAGTTAGTCGAGGAGAAGCTGAAATTGTTGTTATTTACCTTTATATTATTGATATAACTTGAATTATTTTCAGCAGTTAGAGGTATTTCATTAGCAAGTCTGGGCCCAATTGTTGAAAAATGGTCATTAAAAGCATCAGAAAGCTCACTAGAATTAGAGATAATGGTATCATTCAATTTCAGTTCTTTCACCGTTGTATTATTCACACGACGGGATGTAAGCTCATTAAAGGTTTGCCACGTTTTTCGAGGATTACCCTTAGATTGAATAAATGCATTAGAATAATAAGATGCTTTAGAAATTTTGATGTCATTGTTTATTATATTTCGCAACTTTTTGTACCTTTTCCAATCGTGTGGATCATTCGATGTAATTGCTTTTCTTTTGGCAGCATCACGATCACGCATGCCTTTCTTTAATTCTGAATTGATCCAGGGTGCTTTATTTGTTCTAGTACGTCTAGTTCGGAGTGGCGCATGAATATTAACAATATCCAAAAACTTCGTTTTCCAGTCAGTCCACAAAACATTTGGATCTTCAGAAACATTACAGGACCAGTCTTGCTGAGCGATATCGTTACGAAAACTCTCTCTATTAAAATTTTGGAAATTTCTATAAGAAATGGTTGAGTGCCCTTTTGAAGGAAAAGTGAGAGATAATTTCCTATAAACGTAAATAAGGCTATGATCGCTGATACCAATATGAGAGACTCCGGAACAGACTACCCTGTCAGTATAGTTTGTATAAATTAAATCAATTAATGTTGAAGAGGATTCCGTTATGCGAGTAGGTTCAGTTATAAGCTGTTGAAGCCCAAATAAATCAGAAATTTCACATAAGCGTCGAGTATTTAAATCATATTGTGCAGAGGCCAGGTTACAGTTTAAATCACCTAGCAGATAATATTCTAGGCCGAGGGAATCTAATTTCTCAAGAAATGATTCGTAATGTAAAAATAAATCAATTGAGGAGCAAGGAGGTCTGTACCAAGTGGCTATCAGAAATGGCCTGGAGTTTGGTTTCCGAATCTCTATACATAAATTTTCAAGACTGGGTGCATTCAAATCAGAGCGAACTCCAAAATTAATCGAGGTTTTTATATAAAAACCTACTCCTCCTCCTTGTCTGTTTCTATCACGACGAATAAATTCATAGCCTGGTATTTGGACCTCACAACTATTGATAGAGTCATCAAGTTTAGTTTCATTAATTGAGAGAATATCAATGGAGCGATCGGCAAGGAGAATTCTTAGTTCATCAATATGCTTTGTAAGACTATTAATGTTTAAACCTGCAATTTTAAAACCACGACCAGAAGGAAGAAAATCAGAGAGAATTGTACTTTCAAATGAATCAACGTTTTGATTAGGAATACCTGATGATACGTCACTCGGTTGAGAAGCTAGCGTGGGCGTCTCCTGTTGCGAGTTGGAGAGGGAAGGTTTCCCAGTTCCATCAGAAGCTTTACCAGTTGTTGGATAGCTGAGGACTGAAAACCCTTAAGAGACTGATTATACTTGCCAGAACCAGATCTTAAAAACTTAATAAATTGCACGGCCAGCAATGACGAACCTTTGGCATTCAGATGAAGTCTACTACCATTTAATGCTGAGGCGTCAATAACCGAATTATCAATATAAGTAAAGTTATCATCTACTGCTGTGAGCTTGACCCTCTCATTAACTTCAATGCGTTTAGCATCGACGTTGATATCTTCTCTGTAGACTATACCCGAGAGACCAATGCTTGAGTTAGGAAACTTGCTCTTCACCTTCAATACAAGGCTCTTGATATCGGCGACACATGAATCGGCAGACTCCGATGGAAGATTGTTGGTGCCAGTATGGATGATGACGTGAGAAGGATCCGCGGATGCAACAGCGATGTTGTCAACAGCTTCAGCTATTTCAGCAGTGGTTTTCCCGGGATATGAGAATTTATGTACATGTCTTTGCGAAAGCTTTTTTGGATCAATGTGTTTTATCATTGAGTCACCAATAAGCACTATGGGTCTTGTCTTTCCGACTTCACCGCTTTTGGAGTTATTTGCACTAACTCGAGAGGTATTTGCGTGCGCTCCAGACTGATGCAGTGGCATCTCAGAGGATATCTCCTTAACATGCAAGTTGCCAGCCGGGCAACAAGTGAATTCATAAATATAGTCAATAAACTTATTTTAATTTGGTACCAAAATAGCTTGGCCCCAAAGGGGGTGCTACGAAAATCATTTTTTGGCATCATTTCAGGATTTGGCTCATGGACTACAGGTGATTCTCAGTATTTGCTCTAAATTTTACCAAATTGGAACGCATACTTCTTTAATCACATACTTATTCCTACTTAGCAAAACGAATGCAAGTGTACGTGAGTTTAGTGGCTTTTATAATTAAGGGTTTCACTGTTCTGAATGTTTTCACTTCGATCGTGCAGAAAATGGAGAAAGAGAAACAGGAACATAGCATTTCAGAGGACGGTGATATGGCACAAAGCAAGCCAAAACAGCGAGGAGTCGGCTGTAACCCTTTTAAGAGAAGAGATGAAAAAGATGCCAGTGAAAAATGCGAGGTACCTTCGGTAGGTTTCGAACCCAAAGCCGCGAACCAACGACCGTCATTTGTTTATGATCCAGCTCTGGAAAGTAGTGCGGTCGTAACTCCTATATCACCTCGTGCTTTAAAGTTGTTTGAAGCTATCCGAGAAGATGAAATGGAGCTGGTGGAAGCACAGCTTTCTACCCTAATAGATAAGTGCGAAATTGATAAAGCCTGAGCTCTAAGGAAAATTGACGGGAGCCCAATGCTCTCAACGTGTAAACTCATGTGACTTCAGATTTTCCAGGTCCCCTAGAGCAAAAGTTGGGTGCCAGGGGCGACTGAGCTCTGCTAGAGCTCAACCCTGAGTACTAATAGACGAACCATTATTTGTGTTTATACATCCCAATCTGGGCAATCAACCGGCTTTTGCTGTGCTGAGAGTACCTCACCGCGAACTCTCTTCACAAGGCGCTCCCTTGTGCGCTTGCTGTGTTGTTCATTATAAAATTTATCCAACTGCTGCCTTCTTTTCTCGAGTTTTCTACTCTCCCAGGCAAGCTCTTTGACCAAGAACTTGCCTTCCACATCACTCTCTTCAGAGGACATATAATCCTCCGATAAAATTTCTGCCAGCTGCGCCTTTTTGCTGGTTGGCCATGTAATCTTCTTCAGGCCAGGGTTCTCGGCGTTAGCTTCTGCAATATCAACAAACAAATGAATGAGCCACTATACAAGTTTAAAATACTTTTACTTTTCTTAGCTTTGTAGGATTACTGAAAACCATGGTACATATACTCAAACAAGGAGTTAATTTTTGGCTGTGACCTGCATTTTAGACATGCCGCTGGCAAAGCAAGCAATAGTTGTAATTCTATGACCCTTAAATGGATTTCTACCTGAATATTTATTGCCTTATTAATTCAGGAGACTAAACAAAGGAATGAATATATAAATTAATGAACAGGTCTATAATGAAAACATTAGCCTCAACAGATGCAAGTCTTTACAGTCAAAATCATGAATGTGAGTAAGGTTGATACAAAGAAAAATTAAATTAAGGTTGAGATTTGGTATGCTGTTATAGCCACAGTGACAAGTTGCTTTAAGAGTCTGGAAATTATATACAAAATGCTTGCTAAACGGCTTGCTGTTAAACGTAAGTTATAAGGAAGGAGACAGAGACAATTAGAATTATCTTAATGCCTTCCCTCCTTCTCCAGTGAGATAAGTTTGGTATGCATTACCAATGTTTGTTGACACGATGGTCACCCATAAAGATTATGCTATTTTGGAGGCACACGCTTGGAAATTTTTGTGCCAATTTTGGCTAAGTTTAGTGTCCCCAGTTTCCAGTCCCTAATTAGCAGTTCTATAGCGCGGTCATTTGGCAGCCATTTTCGCTCAAGAGTCCTGGTCAGAATTTGGCCATTTGCGGAGGAATGGGTACTAGGGGAGTTTTTCCCACTCAAAAACAAATTTCTACAGGCTTTAAGCTTTCTGTTGATATGCGATTTGCATGCGTTTACATCTTTCTTCTGCAAAATTTTTCCTTGTACTTTTACTCTCTGTTTCATGCACACTGAGTTCTCAGTCCTTCAAGAAAAATTGAGTATTTTTGTCGAAAATTTTCTCGCTGGGAAACGTATTATTGCCAGGTATGTTATCGTAAACAGAAAACCTGAAACCTCGGCTGTGTTTTCCTCGTTTTGGTTTTTTACCGGATGCCTCTGCTTCTTAGAGATTTTTGCGTTTATATGGTTCGCTGAGCGGTTTACATGGGGAGCAAGTCACGAAGAAAGAGCACTACATCGAAGAAATGCAAGTCAAATTTTCCTGTTGGGGAGCTCAGTAACCAGAGGGCTACGCTCTGAGTACCTTTCGAAATCAAAGGAAATTTGTACCTTAAAAAAAGGCTTCAGCGACTCAAGAATAAGGTAAGTTTAGCTTGAAAAAGGTTTTTAGTGAAAGGAGAGGACTACCGTGTGGCACGAAAATTTGCGGGTTCTTATTTTTGCGATTTTTCCATCGATCCGCTAAAATTTACTCCAGAGTAAATGTTCTCTAAGTTAAATTCGCTACATTCATTTCGTACAGAAGAAGTGGGAAGAAGTTGATAAAATATCAAGCAAACTCATCTTGTGTGATCATGTCCGCAATTCTCATGACCACTCTGTTTAACAAAGTATTTATATTACAAGGAGAAATTTGATGCTGATCATTCATAGGGCTTAAAGGGTTAACTTACGTTCTTGGACTTGCAGAAAACTCGCATAAAAGAAAATGTTGATTCGGTAAAAGTTGATCTTCCCGCTTTCAAGACTAAAAGAAGGTTAGTTTTTGAAGTGACAGCTAACACATCCTCTCTAAGAAAAAAAAGTCCAACTGTGCTCACTGATGATGGAAAGCTAAACGTGCCGCAGCGAAGTGCCAGCAGAAGACAACTTGAAACGTTGGTTGCAGCAACAGAGGTAAATGGTGGATCTGTTGAAGACAGGTCCTCATCAGCCTAGGATGGCATGTTTTCTACGCTGACTAAATATGCGAAGACAGCAGCTCTATCTAAATACTTTTCTTCATCAAAAAAGATGAGAAAAGCTAGTCTAGCAGTAATAAAACCTCAGGTTAAGCAGTATGAGCAAAGTGATCATAATGTCATTCGTTCACTTTCTAAGCTTTATGCAGGAGGATTGATGGGAAAGGTAAAATATGAAAAAACAAGATCAGCTCTTGTTATGAAAAATACTAAGAAACACACCAAGAAACTAGGTTCTGTGTCAAAAGAAAGAGTTTTGTTTGGTATGGGTATCCCATTCCTAAACTCATTCCCTATCGGTTGTTAATGAAAAAAATTGAAGAAATTGATGTGGGGGAATTTTATTCAATAAGGGAAACCCTATGCCATGACCTTCCACCTGATCAGCAGGTTGATGGGGTCTATAGAAACCTGGAGAACTTTTTACTTCTGCTGGCCAAGTTCTATTTTGAGACTGATCAGTACAGGAAACCTGGGGATAAGCTGATGTGGTTCAGTGAGAGGGAGGGAGCATTTAAGGTTGCCATAGGGGGTGATGGGGCTCCTTTTGGGAAATGGGATCAATCTATGTCATGGCTGATAAGTTTTTTGAATGTGGGGCCCAGGGTAGCTAGTCCCAATGACAATTTTTTGCTATTTGGAGGTAATTGTAAGGAGGACCACATGGTTGTTTCTCGTTTTACAGCGAAACTTGCTACAGACAGAGAAAAAATAGAGAGCAAATCTTACACAGTATTGGGTAAGAATGTCACCTTTTCTTTTGATCTCCTGCCAGGAGATATGAAACTCCTTGCATATATAAATGGGGAATTAAGTAATGCGGCTAAATATTTTTCTAGCTTCGCTAATGTCTCCAAAGATGACTGTAATGCACTGAATGGGAAGTATGGAGAATCTCATGATTGTAAGTGGAAGCCTTGGCAGTATGCAGAAAGAATCAATGTTGCAAAACAGGTTGAAGATTTCAAGAAAAAAATACCTAGTCATTAAGCAGTATCAACAAAGAGATCCAAAGTAACTCAATTTATTGCTGTAAAAAAATCCAGACAAGAATTCAAACCATTAATTGGTAAGCTATGTGACAAGGAAGTTGTTGAACCACTTCACCTTAAGAATAATGGTGTCCAACATTTTCATGCAATGTTACTTGATCTTGCTATTTCTGTAAGTAGCCTCCCCCCCAAAATTAAATAGCCTTGATGATTTGCCCTCCAATTCGACAATGTCCAGATATTCAAAGGCCATGAAACAAGATGTTAAAGCAGGGATAATGAAAAAACAACTAGGTAGGTGGCTCCTTGAGGATAGAGCTAAAGATAAAGACTTCACTTACAGGTTAACTGGCAAAGATTCCCGCCTAATCTTGCATGGCTTTATGTATCTAGTGAAAGCAATTCAGGGTGACTCAAATGATCCCAAGTTGATAATGCGACTTCTGCCAATTGTCTTCATTGGTATTCGACTCAGGGTTTTTAGGTATGGTAATAAAGATGAAACAAAGGAAAAATAAAAATTACTTGAGATAAAAAAAACTAACTACAACATATATATAATTATATATATATATATATGTTGCTACCTCAACTCATTAGTAACTGTATAGAAAACAGTGTTCGCTCTTCAATGATGAAGGATACCAAAGGCATTCCAATGGCCATAATGGAATTTCAATTCCAACATTTCTTCTTTATATTTATATTTCATAATTCCATTCTTCCTTTCATCAACAATGAGTTCACTTCCCCTTTTCCAACTCCTAGCTTCTTTGTGAATCCTTGGCAGTCCTCAAATTTATTAAATAGGGCACACAGTCTTTTCATACTTGAGAATGTTATTGTGACTGAATAAGGCTGCTCCAAAACATCTACACCAAAACGTGTAAGATTTACAACCCCTTTATTCAATAAATTGAACACTTCCTGTGGCATCGGGACGTCAAAACAAATCATCCAAGGATGGATTTTACTCATCCGCGGACTAAGTCGGCGATAAATGCCTTTCTTAGCACGTATCATTGTGTGCTCCAACATGGAAGATATGGGACAAATTTCATGCTGATATCGATCCCGAAGGGGACCGTATTTTCCCTTCACAACAGCCTCGGCCACTTTCCCTAGCGCTTGAAAAGTTTGATCTAGATCTCTTAGCTTATGTAAATTTGAAATCCGCCGGGAAAAATTCGACTTCTGGCGATTTAATGCTCCTTTAATGCCACTAATAATTTCCACTTGGTCTTGTTCCCTTTGAGCCGCCATTTTTTTTTTTGATTCACATGGACCTAATCCTCCGCGCGGTCGCGAAAAGTTGGCCGAATTTTAGGTCAAAATTTCCAAGCGTGGCACGAAAAAAAATTTTTTTGGCCTCCTTTTTGAGGGCCACAAGTTTATCAGTATTTTATACTGTCAAGTGCCACCCTCGAAAAATAAAGTTGATTATTATTATTATTTTGCACTCTTTCTTCTTTCACACAACAGATTCAAAACACATATTAAAAGAGTTTCTGTTCGATTATTGCTGTGTTGTTCTATACCTTTCTGTTAGATGGAACCCAGGAAAATCGTCTTTGGTTTTTAGTGTCTTCACCACTTTTCGCAAAGTGCGCTATAAAAAATGCAGAATGATATAATTAATTTCTGTCATTATAAATCATGAACCCCAAATACAGGATACTGCATCAGCATGAAATGACAATTTCTAGTGAAAAGCAGACACGCAGGGCAACCAGCTTCTCTTTTCACTTAACATACATGTATACTACAGCATTCCCGTTAATTACTTCAAGCGGGGGCCGGGGGGGGGTTGCGGGGTCATGCAGACCATTTGAGGGATCACCCAGACCACATTTTTTTTTCTCATATTTATTTAACATTTTATATTTCATCTGTTGGGTCAGGAAGCCTTAATCTTTTTTGGGTCAATGACCCGAGGCCCATCTTCTATCTGCAACACTGCATATACTTTGTCTCAGCAAATGCTGCTTGCCCGTTACTATTGATGAACGACATGCTAGCACAACAGGAAGCTCCACTAACCCTGGGCTATTGGACAGCACATTGTCGCACCCTGTGCATATCAAAAGAAAACAATTATTTTCTAATTTGAAAAGATTTAAGTAAGAAGGAAATACCAGGCTCCTATTCATTTGCAAAGTGAAAATTTAAGCCTTTTTAACGTGAGAGGGTGTTGTCCTAAACGGGGTATGTATTTTAGGAATTGTGTATTCCAAAACATGGTCAGGGTTTCAAACACTCAGCAGCTCACCCATACCCGCACACAGGTCGAATACAACCCTCCGCCCCCTCACAAACAAAAGCTTTTTTCCCTTCAACAGTATAGTCGAGAAAGCAGCAAACAAATCGCACTTTAAAAATGTGTCTTTGCGTTGCAAACAAAGGTAGATGAATGAACTGTTGTTTAAATCAATTAAGCTTATTCTCTCTCTGTCAGATTCATTGTTCCCGCGCTCTCTTTTCAATTTGCTTCGAACAGAGACAATTAATGTGACCTGTTAAACCAAAATTTTAGCAAATGATAATCACATATAGGGATACTGACCCGACAGGTTGAAGGAACTTGGACTTTGTTCGTTTTTCGTTGGCGTTCGGGCCGAACTCGGTTTCCATTGTCCTGCTTCTGTCTAATGCTCTGAAGCTCATTGAGAACCTCTCGCAGAACTTTGTTATGGTTTTCCTCCTTCGCCTTCATTTCTTCACGGAGCTTTTGATTTTCCGCAATCATTTCATTGTTTTTCTGCAGCGTTTTCTCAAGAAGAAGGACGTGTTCGTCGCTTAACGTCTCCGCCATAATTGCTGCTCGTTTGATCACGAAGGTTTGAATGCTCGCGCGCCTAAACAATAATTTATTTAACGTATTTTGGCGCTCAAATACTAATTTCTTACATCTTGGGAGGGGAGGGAGGAGAGGAGGGAATCGTTCCGACTTCTTGTTTTAAGTCTAGTTATTTTTTTTTTTTTTCTGTTTTTGTTTCTTTTCTTTTTTTGTCCATATTATAGGTGTTTTTTGTAGTGATTTTTGCTACAGATCTGAGAATCGAGATTTGGCTGAACAGATCATCTGGCCTGAGCAAGGGTCATGTTAGGTCGATTTTATGCTTAATGTCAATCAAAAGGCTAGTTACTAAGAGACAAGTCATTTGCTAAGGATTCGATTAGGACACATGTACTGCCTTCAAACAAAGATACCTGTATTTGAGAAAGCCCATTATTTTAACTTATGTTGAGGTTCCAGCATTATATAGTATGTAGGTTTCAAGGGCCGTGACAGAAACCAGGAGTTTTTTGTGTTGGTTTTTGCTCTTCTTCCTTTCCCCCTTCTTTTGTTTTTCCTTTTTTCGTTAAGCATGTATTGATTACTTTGGAATTTTCTACCAAGCTCTGCATAGTAATTGGATTGTGTGTCTTATATTTTGTTGGAAATTAAGTTAACTCTAGGAGGTTACTGATACGTTTTTAAAATTGATGTTAACCCATGTTTTTTTTTTTTTCACTTGGTATTTCAATCTTTGTAAGTTAAATGAGAAGTAAACTCTGTTTTATCATGGCTTCTGGGCCTTTGCCCAGTGGCAGTTTGGTCTCATCTCTATTCAAATCCCCCAAAAGGCATACTCACTTAAAAACCACTAGTTCAGCCTACATAATGGAACATCCAAAAAATTCCCTTAAAGATCCCCCCTCCTGAAATTTCTAGTCATGCACTGATATAATGGGAGGATATTTAGCCAAAAACTCTTTCCTAACCTTTAAGTGATTACTTAAAGCTCATAACAGTCGTAATAGTTTTCATTGTCCTCTTATGCTCTTTATCCCTATTTAAGTGGCAAGTACATATAATTAAAGTTTGTGATCCATATAAGTCATCTTTACCTGTACCACTTAAAATCCTATTTAAGGCTTTAACCCATTTAAGTCACCTTTACTTTGAACCTTTAAAGGCAGGAATGTTACTCTAGTGTCATGTGCAATTAATGACCACTTGAACAATCTTAAAGATACCTTAAATTGAAATTCTACATTTAAGAGATTTAATTGGCTTTAAGACCGACTTAATGATTTAGAAGAACTTTTAAGTGACATTTAATTTTTCCGTAAAGAACAGTAAAAACAGCATTTTGTCCTGTGGTAGTGTCGACTAAGCGCGCGATAAGCGAAGAACTATAGCGCAAGAATGATTACTCCCTGTCCTCAAGATACTTCCCAATGCATAGTAACGAGAAGACAAATAAAAGGCTCGATAAAACAAGAATAAACGAGAATTTTGGTCAATACTCTTTACTCTCCCTTGTCCGCCATTTTGTATGTTTTGAAAATGACCATCGCCATGGTGATCATGTTATGGTTGGTGACGTACACCATTGTTTTCGCTTCTTCCAAAACTGGCATACTCCCGAACTGATTATATATTGAGGAAGGCACTTAATTAGTATGGAGGAGGACCCTCATTAGTATGGAGGAAGTTATGCATGTTAATCAAAGGGAAGACGGGGGAAGACACCAACGAGGCTTAAAAACAACATACTAGACTACTACCGACTACTTTGTATTTTGGCCACAGATATTTCTATCATATTTTTGGCATGGTCATGAGCTTTTAATAACGAATGTCGCTAAGGATTGAGCAAAATTGGAAATGGTCAAACTTTGTGTGTAGTTCGTACTTCAGGGGAACTACTCACTGTTGCATTTGTTTGACTTCTAACAAAAACCCTCACTGTGAATCGGGGCGGGGGGCGTGTTTGGGCCAAAAATTGCATTTTTTTGGGACAATTTTCTCCTTGAAAAGTGGAGTTTTGTTACGTAAATATTTCAGAAAGCACACTAACAATTAAAAACCTGTTTATGTGAAAGCAGAATACCATCCTTCCTCTCAATAGAAATGTTATCAATTTTTCTCTAGGCCACTGCCCCTGAAGGCCCCTGTTCATTGTCATTTACAAGGGGGGAAACGTTTTTTGACAAGGCTAAAAGGCTAAAAACTAGCACTCCGATTTGAATCAAAATTGAAACAGGATGTAAAAAATTCACCCTTTGTGAACCATTTAATGCTTAAAAGTCGGCGGGCACTCGATACATTTTTGCATGCCAATCAAATGAAAATGTATACCCGACACAAACTAGTAAATTTTCGCAACTTTTGTTTGCCGCTATCTTTCTTTTAAATAATGTCATTGGGGCGCTGTTAAGCGAGAACGTCGGATGGTTCCTATAGATTGCATTCCTTTACGTTTTACAGTCACTTGTAGACAGGAGAAACGATTTTTGGTTTACAGAAACAGGCATGGGTGTGGTTGGCGGTTAATTTATGCAAATTACTGCCCAATATAACTTAGCAGGAAATTCTAATTCGACCTTTTCCAGCAAAACAAATCGGGTTATTGATACATAACTGACACATTTCATACCATTAACAAAGCAATCGATGTGAGAAACATTTCAGAGCCAAAGTCAAATCACACACGAGTCACGATTCGTTTGGGTCTTATCCGCCATGTAGTAAGGGGTGGACCATTTGATTTTTGATTGATGGGGGGGGTTGTGCAAATCCCCCAAAAAATATCGAGCATATGTTTCTGGTTAAAAAAAAAAAATTCTTGCAGAATTCTTAAGAAGGAAAAAAAATCGAGCAGCCTTAACCTGGGCGTGGCAAAGGATTTTGCGTGATGCGTGACGGCCCCAAAAGTAGCTGTGAGTCACATGATACAGGACTGGGCATCACATTTTTTGATGCGTGAATTAGTATTTTGCAAGCGCGACGCATGATTTACCAATTAGATTTCCTATTAAGGTGAACCCTCTGATCTAGAAGGATATTATGATTCAAAGATATTCATGCATTCAGATTCCCACCCTAACAGTTGTCACGTGCAGGTATTTTTGTAATAAAATACGATTTACTTTATAGAAAAGGAAATGGGACAAACAAGAGTAAAGGCTAGCCTGTTCCAGGCGTTCAGATAGTGGGGAGCGGTGCGAAGTAAAAAGGAGCGCTAAAAAATAAAAGCGAGGGAGGAGGAGACCCCCTCTACTTTTCATCGCTTTCTTTACTCTGCACCGCTCTCCACTATCTGAACGCTTGGAACAGGCTAAGTAAAGGCAGGCTACATTGAATTGGTGCAGGGTTCAAAATATACAAAGAATGTGAAACGGATGCGCTGGATATGTGCACGAGACAAAAGACGATCAAATAGATCGAAGAGCATTTTTTCCCTCTGGGTCATTCGTGTTTTTGCAGAGTTCTATTACTTTTGTGTTCATTGCCTATTTTCAAGCCAAGAAAATAATAGTAAACAGTCTGTAGCACATAAATTAAAACGTAATTGTTTTTATTATTTAGGCATTGAAATATTGTAATTTTATAGATCATGTACCTATATAAAAGATGATTCAAAGGGGTCAACTACCAATCTGATTTTCTCACCTATTGACAACTGTAGTGACAAATGTTTATTTAACAATGTCTTTAATAAACCACAAGCTGGCAGAAATTGTCTATATTTATCCATTAAGAACAATTGAGCCTTAAGAATAATAACAGTTTAAAATTTTCTTTATAAATGAACAAGGTTGTCTTCAACATCCTGTACATCTGCATATCTAGCCAAATTTAAATGTAAGGTGCAAAGCTTTAATAGCTATTTGCAACATTCTCATCTCCAGAGGGTGCAATCCTTTTGGTCAGCACCTGGAATTGATACCCCTGGCTAGTCAAAATTTTTGAGCATGTGCAGAGCACTCATTCGTTTTCAGGCAATCAGATTTGTCAGATTTAAAGAGCTAGTGCATTAAATGTGGACTTCCGGTAGTGGCTTTGCAGAGCAGCCAGGTCTCGATACTCGGTGATGACCAAAATAATCGCAGCTTTTGGAGAGAAGAAATTCTCTCTATAAATATTTAAAATACTGCAAATTGTGATTTGTAATAAAAATCATTTGATCAATAAATAACAATTGAAATTTTTCTCTATAAATATTTTATGCAACAGTAACAATAAAAATGCAACAGTCCATAAGATAGGTCTATTGGAGAATGCTATTTTCTAAAGACTGCTTGTTGTAAAATATTTTATGCAATAGTCACAAATAAGCGCCGCATTTAAAGGAGGCAGTCAATTAATATTCGTGTACTAAGCGGTATTACTATGGTATTAAGCACCGCTCTCAAATAAGCGCCGCGGCGCTAATTCACTGCGAAACACACGGTGAAACTTAACGTTTACAAATAAATTGCTTGTAAACGACAAAGTAACAGTATTTTTCTAAAAAAGCAATATTTATTTCGGGACAGTTATGCAAACCCTCGACTTCGTCTCGGGTTTGCAAAACTGTCAAGAATTTTCCCAACCCCTCGAGTGTTTATATCAGGCTATGCAAACACAGGAAAAACGTTTTCTGTTGCTTTTGTAAAATAACTTTCCCGTGAAAAAAGAAAAACTCTTTGTTTAGGTTCCTGATTAAAAGAGAAATTCTTACCACTCGCGAAGTCTTGTCCAATCAGTTCTCGTTTTGCAATAAAGATGCTTTCCAAAAAGGGGTTTCCCGTTCAAAATGTCAGCTTAAGCGAAAAAAAAATATTGGCACAGCATGTTTGAAAAGATTTTCCAAGTTTCATCCGACGAGGGAATGGGTAAATAAAGTAAATTTGTCGAGTTTTCAACTCAAAAACATTTTAAATTTCGTGCTTGTCTGATTAGCGCGCGAAGAGCAAAACATCTTGACTCCATACATGTTTACATACTCTCACGCAAACACATCTCTCGGCCAATCAGAGCGCGCGTGTACTATCTTAGTTCTTTATAAACGTTGTTATCAGCTGTACAGTAGTCTTTAGGACCTGTTTACATGGAGGTGGGGGACCCCAGATAGGTGAGGTAACATGCCGAGGGTATCATGTAAATGTCACCAAAGTGGGTTCCCTCACCTACCTGGGGTCCCCCACCTCCATGTAAAAAGGCCCTTAGAATTCTCGTTTTTTGTTCTTAACATTTTAGCTGATTAAATCTCTTTTCTAGAGATCCATTGCTGACAAGCAACAGGATCTTCGTCCACGGTTTTTGGTAGTAAATTTCTTTAACAAAAATAAAGTATGAAAAACTTTTTAAGGCTTAATTTTTTTTATTTCGTCCCTTTACAAGCAATTTATTTGTAAACGTCAAGTTACACGGTGCATAAGGAAATGTACCGAAGCTTATTAAATTTTTTCTCCAAAAATGCGGCTCTTAAAACCATAGTAATACCTCTTAGTACCTTATTTACGCAAATAAGCGCCGAGGCGCTCATTAAATCCCCTCAAATGCGGTGCTTATTTGAGTAATTACTGTAATTTGCAACTTAAGAGTTTATTGCATTTAGGACAAAATGTTATTACATTTAGGACTTAATTACATTTAGAGTGGTTTATTACATTTAGGCCCTCTACCGTTAACTCGGTTAAAGCCTGTACGACTATCAGCATCACGGTCTAAACTAACATGATTTTTTACGGTATTTTGCAGGAAAAAAACGGTCCTGGTGTTTCCGAATTTGCTACAGGAGATGCTCGGCAGCTTTTGTTGGAATATTTGTGTGTTGCGTTGTACTTTAGGCGAATAAACAGCCTTTAAGCATATTAGTGGCTAAGATTTACTAAGGCATTGATTTATAGTGATAAGATAAATATTATCCAACAAAACCTTCTATCAGCTCGACATTTAGGATAACGGTATTGATTTTAGGGATGGAAAACTGGAGCAAAAAGGCAAAAGAATATTAGACATGCACGCTATTATTTTTGTTTGTAAGCTTTTCGTTAAACATTTTGTCGGACAGGTGGCGGACACGAACGGCAAAATTATATTGATGAAAGATAAGTGCGCAGAAAGAGTTTGCCATAGAGCTGATATCGTACATAAAGCGGGCAACTTGATTTTAGCGTTGTATCGACGTTGTAGTTCCATATAAAACATCGAACATGAAATCTAATTGAATCAGTTTTTCTTTCATGATACATAGTTTAGATACTCGTTTTAAACTGATAAACCACAAAAAAGCATGGAAGAAATAGTAAAAAAAGCCACTTACAAGTTATAAACACCGCGTTTGGGTAAATTGTAAAGGGTTCCATGGAAACCACTCCTTCAGTTCTTTTCAAACTTTAATTTGATGCGTATAAGGGTATAAGGAGGTAGCACCCTGTACGGGGGGGAGGGGGAGGGGAGAAGCCGGAATTTTGATCTTGGTAATTTTTTTGTGCGAGTAGAAGAATATATCTTCTTGATCTCACTTTGCTGTATTCTGTTTCCACTGTACACATTCCCCGGCTTACATCACATAACATAACATAAAACTTTATTTATACTCGAATTTTAGAGTAGCTAACAAGCTAATATCTTCGAGCTGACACTACATAAAAACTATATAGAAAATATATATATATACATTAAACGCAAGGAAAGAAAATATCATTTACAATTCACAATTTTAAGTTTAAGTATGTCAGGCAAAAAGAATCTACATGAAGGTAACATCCTGTATTTTAGTCTTAAAGTCTGCAAAAAAACTGGTACGAAAAAAGTCCGGCAGGGCATTCCACTGCTTAGCTGAAAAGTAAGAAAACGAGTTAAGACCATAGGTAGTTGTTTTAGGTTTACTTAGTGAAAGAATGTAGTTGCCACGAAGATCATAGGAAGAGAACCGGAGTGAAAACATATTCTTCATATAAGTAGGAAAATGAGTGAAAAACAAACTCTTATATAACAGAATGAGGAAATTTTGAATGCGTTTGTTAAACAAAGAAGTAGAGCTGACTTTTGAGAGAAGAGTGTTGTATGGAGACGAGTAATCTCCAAGTATAAATCTAAGTATTCTTTTATTTAAAGCTTCAAGCTTATCCGCATCGCGCACTCCACAAAAGTGCCAGACGGAGGAGCAATAATAAAAGTGAGGTAAAATATACGCTTTGTAAAGTTTGAATAAGATTTTCTTGCGTATGAGTTTTCTAAAGCGCAACATAACATTAAATTGATTATTAATCTTTTTGCATACATATGATATATGTTTAGAAAAATTCAGATTATTATCTATTTCCATTCCAAAAATCACTAACGTGTCCTTTACTGGGAAGGAAAACCATACTCCGTATCACCGAGGATTAGACACTGGTGCTTGCTCTCATTAACTAACATCCCATTTTCATGGTACCACTGATTGGCCACGCCAACATCATGAGATACGCATGCATCCAGCGCTGCCGGATCGACGTGGGAGTAGTATACCTGATGATCATCCGCATAAGCGTTCAACTTGGCCTTCTTGACGTGGAAGAAAAGATCGTTTATGAAAATGTTGAATAGCATGGGACCTAGCACACTCCCCTGCGGGACCCCACGCTTGACGCTTTCCCAGGTCGAAAAGGTGTCTCCAACTTTAACTCTCTGAGTTCTGCTAGAGAGACAGTTCCTAATTAGGGCACAACTTTTGTCGTCCATACCATAGGCCCTCAGTTTCGAAAGGAGGAGTGGATACTGAATAACATCAAACGCTTTGGAGAGATCGATAGAAACTGCCGCAACAAGCTCCCCCCTGTCACGCATCATTCTCCAGTCCTCCGTCAACCTTAGCAAAGAGGTCTCGCAACTATAAAACTTTCTATAAGCGCTTATGAAGTCTGATAAGAGCCCATTGTAAAATTCATACATCTGCCCCGATAGAAGCCTTTCAAAAATATTGTTTAGAGCAGGGAGCACAGTTACGGGCCTATAGTTGATCTTACAAAACTCGTCGTCTTTTTTGTACAGAGGAGTAACCATGCCCATCTTCCAGCTAGCAGGATAACAGCAATGTTCAATGCAACAGTTTATTATACTTGTTATAGGCCGCGCAATAACAGCTGCCGCTTCTTTAATCAACTTTGGTGGGATCATATCGTGACCAGGTGACTTACGTACATTGATCTCTTTTAGTAATAGCTCAACCTGGGTTTCACTTGCGCGATGAAAACTGCAGCAAGCTGGAGCACTAGAGCCCCTGTGTTCATGGATTGCTTTGATGCTGGGATGATTTGCATAATCCTCACCGTAATCCTCTGCTCGTATTTCAGGCGTGCTGTCAGCAATGTGAACAAAGTAGTCATTAAGCAGATTGGCAATCTCCTTTTTGTCACTAATAATCCTGTCATTTTCTTTCAAGATAATGTCATTGGCTTGCCTACTTTTAGTATGCAAAAAGGGGCGGAAAGTAGACCAGAATTCGCGCGGGTGTTTGGTGTCTGCTGTTTTCCTCGCGAAGTGTTGTTTTATTGCTTTTCGCCTAAGAGAGGTGCAGGTATTACGTTGAGTTTTGTATGCCTCGTAATTTGCATCAGTACGATTGCGCGTGAATTTTTTCCACAGTTTGTTGCGATGCCTGATCGCCCTCCTCCATTGTTCCGTCATATAAGGCACCTGATTACCACGTATCATTGTTTGCTTGATAGGTGCGTGTTCATTGAGAACACTTAGAAACAATTGCTCAAAAGCATAAAGCTTATCATCAAGTTCATCAAACAAATCAATTATGTGGAAAGGCACAATTTGCATATCATGCACAAAGTTCTCTCGACTGAAGTTTTTCAGACTGCGAAAACAAATCTTGCGAGATCGAGTCCTTGGTGCTGATGATCGCAGGATAGTATAAACTAACGAATGATCACTAAGTTGCGTGTCTACCACGCCTGATGTTAAGACCTTTTTCTTTTCATTCGTCAGGATTAAGTCCAGCAGTGTTTCAGTTGTTTTTGTTGTGCGAGTTGGTTCCGTAATCAAACAATCAAGATTAAAAATATCTAGCAGATCTAGAAGAGCCCGACCGTCTCTGTGTTGTTTATCAGGAGCAAGAAGGTCCGCGTTTAAGTCTCCTGCTAGGAAAACCGTGTTTGTGAGCGAGGAAACTGCTTCTAAGAGACAGAGAGTTCACGCGTCCACTGAGATCTCACAATCGAGGGAGGTCGGTAAATGCCCACAACAGTAATCCAAGTCTTCGGTAGTTTGACTTTCAAAACAATCGACTCCGTCTTAAAGGTTGACCATGTATCGGAAGAGAGCCCTTTGAGCTCTTTAACTCTAATAAAGCAGATATCACTCCTTACGAACACCATCAATCCACCTCCTCCAGCCTTTCTGTCACAACGACTCAAACGAAAACCTTCAACGTGAAACATAGAGTTAGGGAAAGTAGCATCTATTTTAGTTTCGGATATTATCAAAACATCCAGCCTACCAGATTGTAGCCAAGTCTTAATCTCATTGAATTTGAAACCACCAATACTGTTCGCGTTGATGTGTCCTAGTTTGAGATTTGATCGATGATTATTAGCCTTCTGATCAAAGTCGGCCCATATTTCATTTTCAGCCTCCATTCCACCTTCGACTTGGACTTGATCAATATCTCCTTCGGTGTCTGAATCATCGAAAAAGCTGTCGCTTAGTGGGGGTAGAGAACATTTACTACAGTACCAAGCCTGTACATCACGTGTACGTAATTCCTTAAAGCTCGCACCAGAACACTTCACATGAAACGTCTTTCCACACAAACCCGCACAACGGACGCCATAAATAAAAAAATTATGTTTGGGAGTTCCATTAAGATGTTCTTATCGCGCCTTTATTAAAGCCGGGAATTTTCTGATGATAAAGCGTTTTCACACGTCAAGGCGGCCATATTGGTGTTCCAAAACAAAGAAACGGCGGTCAGTTCTGATCAAAGTAAATGGAGTGAATCTTATCACGCGTACTTCCTGTCTGCTCAAGCAAACGTTTACCGAATTAAATTATGCTGGAAGGCGACACGCGAAATAAAATATTACACCTTGTGTTACGATATTTGGATAGTTTACTCAACGCAGCTAATTACATTGATTATCACTATCTTCGGGGTCATTATAAAAGTTAGGTTTAGGAAAGTGAAATAGTTCGAAATTTGTTTCAAAAAGTTCTTATTTTAGTGCAGAAAGCCCCAAATTTAGTGTGTCTCAAAAAAGACTTAGAAAAAAAAAATATTCTAAAACAATAGCTGAAATCAGGAGCCGATTACGGCTCCTGCTGAAATCCCAAGGGCTTAGTATTGTTCTGTCTTTAATGCTCTTAACCCATAACCCCTTAGATAAAAGCAAGTAACTAGACCAGAATTATTGTGGGGAAAAGGGGTGAGGGATGAAGTACTCCAAATATGGACAGCAGGTCACTTTTCTCTACATATTGGTGTAACAGTCCGAAATCTACAAGGGGAGAGGTGATAATCCTCTCTAGGGGGTGATAATCCTCCAGGATAGTGAGAAGCTAGGTGATAATCCCCTCTAGGGGTTGATAATCTCCCAAGGCTGTGAGTGGAGGTGATAATCCCCCTTGGGTACTGGAGAGGTGGAAGGACCTCTCTAGATGTCTAATTCCCCGGTTTAAGGAGTAACAAGAGTCTATGGGGCAAAGTGTGACCTGTATGGGAGCACTTCATCCCGAACCCATGTTTATTAATTGCCAACAACTCTCAATACAGATATCATCACTAATTTAAGTTAGAATTGCGTGCCTGCTGCCCGTCAGGAAAAACCCTCAATTATCTTTGAGGGAAACCTGAACCCTCCCGAAAGCAGAGCCACACACTTAACATGAACCTCGAGGGAGAGAGGTTAGACGAAAATATATTAATACAAGTTGCAAGTAAATGACAATTAAATTTTTATCAACTTAATAATCAAAATAATGCCCAAAGTAACTAAGTGCACAAGCATGTTAGGATCCCTGGTAGAATAATTCCCCTCAGTAGAAACCCCACCTCTTTTCTGCCATATCTTCTTGACAATTGCCAATTGATTCAAAGTGTAAGCAACAAAGATCAGTAGTTCTTATGACTGCAAAAAATATAAGGAGCTTCTTAAATTTTCAGCAAGAGAAAAGACCTCATATATAAAACTTAAGAAAACCAGCAGAGAGAATCGAGCAGTAACAAGGGAGGGTGGGATGGGATTTTGTTCCACGAAGAGAAGAATATGAAGTGCTATTTTGCTGAGCTAGGTGCAAAAATATAGGCATCAACTGTTCATGTGATGTCATGTCATGTTCATGTGGCATCTAATTAGCTGAGCGAAACAATTAGTGTGACAGGGGTCGCATGCAGGAAGTGACCCCTGAAAGGAAGTGAGCTGGTTCCATTACTGGTAAAGGCGGGTTTATGGTTATCACATTAACTTTTAGTTTAACAAGGTGGTAAGTTAGTAGTGGTGAGTTAAGGGTGGTGAGTTAACTCGTGTGAGTTGCAAGATCTGGAATTTTCCAAATCTTGCCGCAAGATATGGAATTTTCCAAATCTTGCAATTTTCTCATTTGCTGTAAACGAGGCAATTGGTGAACCCAGGCGGGTATAACTTCTATTTTTTTCTCATTGCGTCGACATGAACAATGGTAAACGTACCATGAGAAAATGGAAGGGGTGACAGGTCGCACATCTATATATACCGGCGTGAAACCTTGTGTTAACCATTAATATATTTTAGCTCTAACGAGCATGTCCTTAAGGGATTTTCCTTTCTTGTAGGAAATGATAGGTGGTTCTTTAGAAATTTGGTGAAGTAAAGGTTGGTTTTGTATATGATTCCATTTTTTCATTAAAACTTCTTTTAAGGTAGACACTGAGGGCTGGTACTGTGTCACGAAAGGCAATATTTTTTTTCCTCTTTGTTGTTGTGTTTCAGGAGTGCAGACTCCCTCTCTGTCAACTTTATATCTGATAGAAGGTTTTCTATCATAGTTTGTGGGTAGCCTCTGTCAATCAAGCGTTTTTTGAAAATTGAAATATTTTCCTTAAACGTAATTTTTGAGGAGTTTGTTCGTAGGATTCTCAAGGATTCTCCTTTGACAAATCCTTTTTTAACACTCGGCGGGTGACAAGAGGTGAAATGTGTGTACTGGAAGGTTTCCGTTTCTTTTTTTAAATGTGTCTTTACATCAAGGATAGATTTTCCCTTGAATCTTGTGCCTTTGTATACAACCGTGTCCTAAAAACACAGTCTCGGTGTCAGATATTTCGGCCGTGACTTTGATAGTTGGGTGATATAAGTTTGTTTGTTCGATAAAGGCTTCAATGACTGGTTTACTTATGTCCCATAGGCAGGCAAGATTAACAAAATTCCAAATCTTGCAGACAAGATTTGGAAAATTCAATATCTTGCCGGCAACATTTGGAAAATTCAAAATCCTGCCAGCAAGATTTGGAAAATTCAAGATTTTGCGGCAAGATTTGGAAAATTCAAGATCTTGCCGGCAAGATTGGAAAATTCAATAGAGACCTTAAGATACCCCGATATCGGTGTACGGGTACGGGTAGTGTACCCGTACACGTAAAATGTTCATGTGCGTGACTATTTCGATTAAGATACCCGAAGAACAAGCACGCAAAATTAACTTCGTACATGCATGTCGCTTAATGCATACAAAATCTCCCTCAAATTCTACACTTCATATCTTAACAACAAGCTGCAACAAATAATTGATTCATACATAAGCTTATTGAAATGTCATAGAAAGATTTTAAGAAACTTGGCGGGAAGTCCCTCGACCGAAAGCTTGTTATCGCAAACCCGGGCATTTTGATCGATGCACATCACCAAACAATTCCTTTGATTGTCAACTTCAACAGTGACTCCCATGCTAAATATTTCAATGCTATTTCTTTTGCGAAACTCAAACCTTCGAGCAATTTTCAGAAATCCCCCCAAATACCGCCACAAATTGATATCGTTTCAGAGTTCAACCTGCGCATTTGAGGTCCAAAATCACTATACATTTTGAAGCGCTTTCTTTACAGCTAAAATTCAAATTTGGCAAAAATATTTGAACAGACTTGCAATAACATTGCCAAGGAGTCATACAATTTACATTTGTACTTAAAAAGTCTTAAAAACTTACTCGCTTCTCCATCATGTAGGACTTGCAGCTACTCGTAAATCTTCTACGGGTAAACTGGTGTCTACCCCGGAAAAACGGCTGGTTCTACCGGGTAAGGTCGATGACGTCACCACAAAATGGAAAAAACATGGCGCTACCCGTTACCCGTACACCGATTTCGGGGTATCTTAAGGTCTCTAATATCTTGCAACTCACCACTCGCTAACTCGCTGCAGCAACTCACGACAGATAACTCACCAACTTGCCGGTCCCATTAACTTTATTTTATATATTAGCTTTTGTTTTCTTTAAACAATGACAGAATGCATAATTAATGTATGGGGTTGTACCGAAATCTTGCCAAACATTGTTCTTCGAGACAGGGCCCGGTTGCATAAAACCTGCACTTAAGTGCTCACTTTTAAGTGAGCACTTAAGTGCAGGTTTTATTAAAAGTAGGTCACTTACGAATCCGTTATGGGTACACTTACGGGTGTTGCATGGAACACACTTAGCACTCTCGTAAGTTTCTGTTTTACGTGGTAACTTACGGGCTCACTTAAGGGCACACGTAACCTTGATATAGTACTTTATTAACGATTCACTCTTTTTTTTTTTTTTTTTTTTTTTTAAGCTAACCATCGGTGAGTGTGAAGAAAGTTAAGAGAGAGTCTCCCTAAAACCGGTCCACTGCGTTTCGGGTCGGAAAATCAGGTTTCCTTTAAACTTTGCCCATGAATATATCTTAGTCCAAAAATAATTGAAACTGCCTTAGTTTTTGAAAATATTTCAAAATAAAATTTTTCGGGAGAAAAATCACTTCAGCATCCGGCGGCCAAATTTTTGCAGTGACAAAGAGTGAAAATAGCGCATATTGCCGAGTTCACCACTTCAAAGTTTTGCACTTTCAACGATTTTTTTCACTTCCTAGGATTAAATTGGTCCTTAAATGATGTAAAGCACACAATTTTGGTCCTTCAAAAGCAACTCATGTCTACTAAATATTTTTTGATTTACACCCACTTTACCGTAGGCGGGAAAGGGCTCAAAAATGCATATTTTCAACCTAGCACTGTGCAAAATCCCCACATGTTCTAAACAAATTGTCTTTTCAGACCAACAAAGGGAATGTCCAAAAACATAGAAACATAAAAATGTGTTGTGATTTTAACGATTTATCAGCACAGCCGATAAATGCGAAATATGCCTATTTTCTGTTATGACTGTTTACAATACACGATGGAAGGTCTTAATGCAAAGCCGCAATAACACAATAATTCAGTCAATTTATCAAGTATTTTAAACTGTTTGTGACTTTTGACACAATAGGACATCATTTAGGAAAGGAAACCCTTTAAGCCGAACGCATTAATACTACAGGTGTACCTGTTTACAGTGCTTGATCCGATCGAGTCGTCTTCGCTGGGTACACAAACCTGATATCCCATGATGGCGCTTGTCACGCATTCCTATATCTGGAATCGTTACGCCGCGAAAACATTTTTTGCTAGTCTGACTAAAATTGAAAGGCAGGAAATTATCTCAGTATCAATAGAGTATTCTATTATATTTATTGCTGTTGTCGTCGACAAGCTACAAAATCAAGAATCATGCATGCATAAGTGCCTAGTGCATTAACAATGGGTAACTTTTTAGTTTTCCAGGAACAGGC